TTTAAGTGTGTCTTGTCTATTTAAGGGTAAGGTAAAATTGACCCTGTGATTAGTGAGCCTGGATGGCGCAGTCGGTATAGCGACTGGCTACTGGCTGGGCAATCAAGGAATTGGATTTCGGGTCCCGGTAGAGTCACGAGTTTTCCCTTCTCCACGTCGTCCAGACCGGCTCTCAGGTCCAACCATCCTCCTATCCAATGGGTACCGGTGATCTTTCCCAGGGGGTAAATTGGCCAACGTGTGAAGCTGACCGACCACTCACCTTAAACTAATGTCGAGGTAAAGAAAATGTGGATCTATACATCCACTCTCCATACGCCTTCATGCTATAGCGCTTAATTAGTTAAGCACAGGCACTACTTTACCTTTACCTTACTTAACTAACTAAGCGCTACTCCATTAAGGCGTATGGGGGAGTGCATGTGAAGATCCATGTTTTCTTAACCTCGTTCACTAGTTGGAGGTGAATGGTTAGCTTCACGCCCCGGCCGCTTTAGCCTCGGAGGAAGAGTCCCCCGGTACTCACTGAATAGGAGACTAGGTGGGCCGCAGAACCAGTGTGCACAACGTGGAGAAGAGAAAATTCTGACCTTACCGGGACTAAAACTCCGATCCCTCCGTCATCCAGCGCGCAACCAGTCGCTATCCCGGCTCCTGTCTATTCAACGAGTACTGATAATATGTTGATATGGTTATGTGAATTGTAGTCTACTATATAAAGAAGGTTATTTACGATCGAATATTTTTGTGTGTTATTCATGGAGATGATGTTAATCGTCGTCCTCGAAGCAGTGTTCGACAACACGTAGGACTGAATTGGAATATGGGAGAAAGCAACGAAGGCTGACAAATAAAACTTACATTAGTATTCCTATAACCTTCTTTGATATTCTCCACAACTGTATTGACCATATTTTTAACACGACCTGTATTGCTTATGTGATCATATTACATCATACACCCATCAAAGTCCTATTTTAATAAAAGTATTGTTTTTATAGAAACGAATTTCAAACTCAGTACCGTCTCACACTTTTAAGCCCTGAGCTCTTTGTACAAAAGCAAAAGGTATTAATTTTACGCATTGCAATTACATTCCCTTCATACTGGCTCAAAGCCTACAGAACAACACACAGGAATAATTTTACGCATTGCAACTATACTCCATTCATACTGGCTCAAAGCCTACAGAACAACACACAGGAATAATTTTACGCATTGCAACTATACTCCCTTCATACTGGCTCAACACCTACAGAACAACACACAGGAATAATTTTACGCATTGCAACTATACTCCCTTCATACTTGCCCAGAGCGTACAGAACAAGACATAGGAATAATTTTACGCATTTCAATTATACTGCATTCATACTGGCTCAAAGTTTACAGAACAACACACAGGAATAATTTTACGCATTGCAATTATACTCCCTTCATACTGGCTCAACACCTACAGAACAACACACAGGAATAATTTTACGCATTGCAACTATACTCCCTTCATACTGGCCCAAAGCCTACAGAACAACACACAGGAATAATTTTACGCATTGCAATTATACTCCCTTCATACTGGCCCAAAGCCTACAGAACAACACACAGGAATAATTTTACGCATTGCAATTATACTCCCTTCATACTGGCCCAAAGCCTACAGAACAACACACAGGAATAATTTTACGCATTGCAATTATACTCCCTTCATACTGGCCCAAAGCCTACAGAACAACACACAGGAATAATTTTACGCATTGCAATTATACTCCCTTCATACTGGCCCAAAGCCTACAGAACAACACACAGGAATAATTTTACGCATTGCAATTATACTCCCTTCATACTGGCCCAAAGCCTACAGAACAACACACAGGAATAATTTTACGCATTGCAATTATACTCCCTTCATACTGGCCCAAAGCCTACAGAACAACACACAGGAATAATTTTACGCATTGCAATTATACTCCCTTCATACTGGCCCAAAGCCTACAGAACAACACACAGGAATAATTTTACGCATTGCAATTATACTCCCTTCATACTGGCCCAAAGCCTACAGAACAACACACAGGAATAATTTTACGCATTGCAATTATACTCCCTTCATACTGGCCCAAAGCCCACAGAACAACACATAGGAATAATTTAAATTGAAGAAAGTTCAAGAGCAGGAATCTCCCACTGCATTGCTTTGAGAGTAAATTTCCTATCATAACTTAATTAGGGAAACACAGGGATGCCAAGATATCGTCTCGAAATATGAATGATGCTACGATTTCATATGGGTTATACACGGGAACAGAAGGCAGAAGATATACCTGAATTGTCTTTATACAGCGAATTCGAGGAATTCTTGATGAAATAAAGTTCAGAAATTCTCATTTTCCTCTCCGCTATATAAATCTCTACACAGATAATACAAAGAACCATTATTCAACACATTGTTTTGTACAGGTGTGGAACTCAATTTGCCTCACTAAGGAAAGAACAGAGACTGAGCGTTCCTGAGAACAAATTCATGAGGCGAACATGCGCATTTAAAATGAACTAAATAACATATGGAAGGAGAGATAAGCATAATGAAGAGCTTCATATTTTGTACATATATTTAAGCGGTCATAAAATCAAAGAATATGTTAACTACACATTGGAGATTAGAACTTTATTCCTATACACACTGTTGATCGGATAAACCAAAGAAAAGAGACCCATTCACAAACCATGTGGATAATATTAAAATGGAAGAAGATGGAATAAACCTATTTAAGGAAAAGAGACTAATAAAATTGATAAACTTATGAAACTGCGTAACGGTTTGATTAAAATGTGCAAAGATATAAAGAAAAATGTAGAGAATTTCGCTGTGACAAACTGAATTGTATGTGAGCAAGGGAAATTTTAAGAAAAGTGGCATAATATAGCGGTTCAATGGAGCAAATTAAAGAGAGTCAATTTAATCATGTAGATTTGTAACTGACAATATATGGGCCGGTGAGCATTTGAAATACGACAAGAGGCAAAAATGGCTCCGGCAAAAAGGTTAGATGAAGCCAGACTTGTCCACGTCCACAAGGTTAGACATGTTTCGGCTACCATCTCACAAATTGCCATAATTTAGAATATTTATGTCCTGCTTTATTTCTGTAGGATGAGTATTATAAAAGTGTATGGAGGCGACACAGGCTCACCTCCTAACAAGCGGTCATGCATGGGGCAGGTGTGCTTCGATAAGGAATAAAGCAACAATGGATGTTAAAAGATCATAAACTGGCCTTTACCTAAAGCAGTGCTGTCCAACGTTCTTATATACTCGGGCACAATTCACTGATGCCTATGGAGGTGCGGGCGCCACCACACACTACCACTACTAGTATTTCTATTACTACTACTACTACTACTACTACTACTA